GCGACTGCCCATGATGCAATAATACAAGGTGTTATCAGTTGGCAACTTCTCGCTCTAATTCCGCCATATTGACTACCTTACGTGAAACAGTGTTACTTCTTTCACTATTCTTTGCCCATTAATATAGTTGAATGCTTTTTATTTTTTCTCAGTATACACACTTTGTTTTCTTAAAAAGGTATTTTATCTTATTTTATTTCGTTTCATAACGAATATACTATAAAAAAGCAAATTTTGTTAAGGAGAAAAAGTGAAATTTTATATTTTTCCCCCATATGGGGATTCATTTTTCCCGTTTTTCTTCTCATTCTACTGAGCTAAGGTAGTGTCAAATCGAGCTGTCACAACTGATAGCACCTTGTATTATTGCATCATGGCGACTGCCTTCATCGGGGATGAATATGCCAGGGATGAAATTATTGGTACACACGCCTTCTGAGCACGCTTCTGTGAAACAAAAAAAAATTAGCTCAAAAAAGTTTCAAAAAGTATAGTGTAAAACCAAATTTATTGAATAATTGTACATAGAATTGTATACGTAAATGACGTACTATGTAAACTATTGGAAAAAACTTGTTTCATTACCGTTTTTGTGCAAAATGAAAACGACTATCTGAACGCTCGAAGCGCTGCCACTTAAATACTGCTCTGGTGTTACTGCTGCCGTGGTGAATATATGTTCCTATTTATTTTTCTTCAGTTTACGCGACAAACAATGCAGGTAGTAATTTTCATTGAATTTCTTCACGAATCTGTATATTTTATGTTTTTTTTATAATTACTCGAATTTTATGTGTTAGCCAGAACGAGGGATATGTAAAATGATGGAAAGTTTTTGAATTTCTCACACAAACTTAAAAAGTCCTTTCCTTGTAGGGAAATTAAATAAAATAATGGCAGAATGTCTGTCTGTGCATGAATTCATTTGTCAGTGCTACCAAACTGTGCTGCCAAATTATCAGTGAAACAAAACAAACAGAACGGCTTATAAATTGAACCAGATCTCTATCAGGATCACATCGCTGTTGTTGTATTTCTGTGAAAAACTTGTAAGTGGTTCTCGATTATTGCCCAAGAAAACACAGTTAGAGTTGTGACAGAGTTGCATTGGCTTCAGTTTATCAAGTTTATTCAGTGAAATCGCTGGAGAAATTTAGCAGAAATGTGTAATTTAGAATGTCCACACAATTATAAGTTTATACGGTTTATAATGCATTTATAAGGTTTAATGAATACCCTTATTCATTTCTATCTTACCCGCCGGGTCGAAGACTCAGGGTTGCTTTTCTAACCATTTGTTGTCAATGGCCCCAAACACACGGAGTAATTGTGCATGAACAATTTTTGTTTTCTTCGCGTCACCCGAGATGAATAAAAGCAGTGAAGAAAATGTATACGTGAATAGAGATTTGTATGTATTAATGCCATTTTACGTTGATTTGTTCTTGTACATAAGTAAACTTAGAATCGTGAATGCAGTTTAATGCATGCACAATTATTCTCGTGTTTTAGCCTCATTTCCGTCACAATAGTGTTTTCCGTTCGTGTCGAAATTGTGTTTACCCGATCGAATTTTCCGACTGGAATGGATCAGCTGTTCGCCACCCATCAGCCCTTTACCCGCTATCCGCTGAAATTCTGTTTACATTATTTAAATTTGCCAAACAAGAGGCACTGTTGCTTGTTCCTTGAAATTGTTGTTGTATTTGTTTGTTTTGTTTACATTTTGTACTGAACAGTTGATTGTTGCTTGAAGAAATACGGGGTGGCCATATAAGTGTTTTTTAAATATATAATCTGAAAATGAATTTCTTATGTTAATCGACTATCTCTACTTAAATAGCGAATCCGCTTATCAACAGCTGATTCGTAGCTTTTTTCCTGTAAAAAAAAAATAATTAGTAACAGAAAATTTTATGAATTTTATTTACTCATATGCGCAGTGTTGCCAGATTTTGGGCGAGCCGATTCCCTTATTGTCCATGCAATTCCATGATCCAACTACACAAGATCTGACAAGATGAAGCAAAAGAAAAAAAGAAAATTTCTGACTGATGTTTGTAATTGCGCCATGTTATTTTCTTTGAAAAGTAAACAAAGAATATGAAGACGAAGCATAAAGAAAAAATGCAAGCAATTTTGTAGCACATGTTTGTGCTAACTAATTTATTATTTCGTGCGTGCTTTTGCAACCAATCAACGTCAATGGGGTCAATTTTAGATAAAAATTTGTATGTCACTTAAAACGTCGTTTCCAGGCTGCCCAAATGGCGCAATTTAAACACCCAAATTAAAATTGAAATTGTAGCTGTCGATTTCGATGACAGTTTGTTTATTTGCTTGTTGTTGTTTTGTTGGTTTTGTTTTGCTCTGTTTGTTTATTTTTTATTTTTTTGTTGTTGTTATTGACGTTTGTTCATTACTCTATTTTCTCTTGAATAACTTACAATACACAATTTTCAGAGTTATATTCGTAAAATTGAGGTGACTACGCCTCAATTTCCCGAAATTGAGAATCGAGAAACTGAGTAGGCAATTCACGACGTACGAAAACCACACTGTATAAGTCACTCATCATGCCCGTGATGGTATATGGCGCAGAAGCATGGACAATGACAACAACTGATGAGGCGGCTGTTGGAGTATTCGAGAGAAAGATTTTACCGTAGACGATGGAACGATGAGCTGTATCAGCTTTACCAAAGAACGTAGATAACAAAAAGGGACAACTCGTTAGAATTGTAGCGAAAGTGAGCAAAAGGGGCGTGCCTTCTCTTTTGCCCTAGTACGTTTTTTGATTGGATGAAAAGAGAAGGCACGCCCCTGTTGCGCACTTTCGCTACAATTATAACGAGTTCTCCCTTGGCTATGTCGTTCGAATGGACGCCGAAGCTCCGGTTCTGAAAGTATTAAACTTGGAACCCGCTGGTGTCAGCAGAGGAGGAGGGAGGCCCCGCTGCGATGGAAAGACCAGGTGAAGAACGACTTGGCTTCACTTGGCATTTCCAATTGACGACAGTTGACACAAAAGAGAAACGACTGGCGTGCTTTGTTGAACTCGGCCAAAATCGTTTAGGCGGTTATAGTGAAAAATAAGAATAAGAAAAAATTGAGAATCGTACCGCAATTTCAGCTGAAATTCAGAATAGTGTCGAAATTGCGCAATTCGGGCGTTGCTGTTGTTGTATCAGTAGTACTCCACCCCCCGGGATTTCGATTCAGGGCTCGTCTTCGTCCTTTGACTCTACTCCATATGGACAGACCCGTCGAGGCTGCACGCTTCCTAGGGCTGCCGTTAGTGGAGTAGTGCCACAGACTAAGGTCGGTGTTATGCAGAATTTTTGTTTGGCAAACTGCGTGCAATTGTTGTTGCAGCAAACTCGGAGAGAGCGAGTTTAGCGACTCTCACAGCAAACTAATTTTGTTTGGTCAAACTGCAGCAAATTCGGTGTTGTCATATACAAAAATTGCCGTGATACCGAAAGCCAGAGTACTGAGTTTATGCTATAGGAGCTTCAAAGATTAGGGCACAGTTAATTGCTTATACGATATCATAAAAAATATATTAATTGTGCACGTTATGTACATCTGAAATTCTCATTTCATGTTGGCAATAGTCATGAATACTATAATGAACGTGCAACCCTGGCCAACCTCGACATAACCACCTCCGAGCAAACTAAGCAGCCACCACTTAATTTGGCAAACAAAAGTTTGTCTGCATAACGCCGACCTAAGCAGCAATTCGGGTGTCGTTGTCATTGGGGTGTAATTTTAATTTTAGATTATTTGAATCCCACCTAGCTTTCGTTGGGCTTCAGATCACCTTTATTTCAATTTTAACTTTCTGGCAACGCTGTTACTTGTCCCTCGAAATTGTTGTTGCATTTGTTTGTTTGTTTACATTTGCTGAACAGCTGCTGATGGGCCATTTACTTGCTGCCTCCATTAGCATTCATCCATCGCAGACGATCTGTCAGTTTCATCGCAACCGTAACGCTCACCGCATATAAAAACAGAAACTCATTTAAATTCAAAAGTTAAAACAAGCTGTCAAAACTTACTATTTGGAAATTAATCGCCTGTGATAGTTCGCAAGCGATGTCTCCCGCTATCTATCACATCGATAATAGGTTCGTTCGCGTAGGTGTTAATCGTTCATGTTTAACCAAAACTTACAAGTTTTTGCGTTCGCGTACGCAACAAACTTGCAAAGTAGGGGAAATTGAGAGAGCAAACTGACATTTCATTTTGAGGGGAAGCTGCTGGTTTCTGCTGGAAAAATTTTTGCCAACAGCAATTTGCCAACAGGAAAACAGCTTATCAAAAACAGCTGGTTGGCATTTACGCAAATCACAAAATTGAATTTGATGGTTTGGAAGATAAAAATTACAAAATGCGATTAATTAAACTTGTAAGAAATAAGTAGTTATTTGTTTAATCAATAAACTGTGTCAGTATAACACTTTGCGATGACTTTTCGTACGTTTGAAATTTTACACTTTTGTATGTAAACAAAAATTATATCAGCTGTTCGTCTAACTTGCAAGTTTCTGCAAATTTTCTGTTCGCGTAATATTTTGAATATTTCTCTCTTGTGAGAGAACATATGACATTTCGCCGAAATTTGGCAGTTGGTTGGTTTCTGCTGGAGATTTTAAACGAACGCACTTAATATTGAAAAAATTGCAACAGCTGATTGCAGGAAGATTAACGAGCTTGCCTCCACGATATTTCGGTAATTAATAAAATAATTTTGTGCAAACAGAATGTACGGAAAATTTACTGAAACCCGATTTTTCGAATACCAAACTCGGTGTGAAGACCCCTATAATTGTACACAAACAAAATACATGTGAAAAATTACGAACACCGAGTAACCGAGTACCAAATTCAGTGTGAAAATCCCTATTGTAAGTAGTTGCTGCAAGATGCTTCACGATCCATTAAATCCAAGGTCGTGACGCATATTGTGAGTGTAGCATTCGCCTTACCGGTTTGAAATCGCTGAAAATATGGTGAGCATGTTGCATCGGAAATAATTCCAGTAGTCTGGCATCTTGAATAAGTTTGGGTAAAAATTGTCAGATAGGATATTTGGATAGCTTCAGCAGCTTCATTTGTGATTTTGATATTTATCTTGAGATTTTATAAACAAGACGTTAATTAATTAAGTGTTGTCCAACATGGCGGGAAACGGCGATATTATGGAGGGCATAGAACCATGCCGAACATGCGGAATATTCTATTTAACATCATCGAATTTTCTACGACAGATATACGATTCCTCGTCCGATGAGTGTGATTTGTCAAATATTCGTACTGAACTAGCGGGATGGAATGTTGAGGTGAGTACCTGCAAACGCAAAAATCATAAGTACATATCCTCTAAATGCAAAAAATCAATAATAAGCAAACGCTACTTTAACAGATTAAAAAGAACGATGGTTTACCTCAGTATATTTGCACCTGCTGTATTCTTGAGTTTCAGAAGCTTTTTAAATTTCGAGGCCTTTGTGTTGAATTAGATGCACAATGGAAACATTTTTACAACCTACGAGAAGATAATAAGGTTTATATAAAAAAGGAACTACCTGATCCAGAAGAAAAATCAGAAACTATATGCGATTTCATTTACGTTGATGACCTTAGCGAAAATGAGTACAATGGTGTGGGAGGGGGTGGTTTTACACCTTTTAACATCCCTCACGTTCCTATCGTTCCTATAAAGGAAGAACTTGTTGAAGAGAGCTCTGTTCATAAAGATAGTTTTGTTCCTTCTTTAAAAGAAACATTTAATATTCCCTCTTTGGAAGAACAATTTAATATTCCCTCTTTGGAAGAACAATTTAATATTCAAATGGAAGTATCTGAAGAAGCAAATCAAACTCATGACATAAGTTATCTAACAAGCTCGAATTTGAATATACTAAACTCTCCAGAACCACAACCGTTGGAGGAGCATATAAGTGAAAATTCTTCAATTCACGTAAAACAAGAAGCATCAACATCTGTTCAATGTAGCTTGTGTCGACATATTTCGGCAACAATGGAGCTGCATAGACAACATATGCAGCGGATACATGAAATAAAGGATATGGTTTGCCACATATGCGGAAAGCAGTTTACAAACTCCACTGCTACACGACTCAAATTTCATTTGAAATGGCACAGAATCAGCAAGCATATTAAATGCGCTCAGTGTGGATTCTTTTGTGACTCGCGGGAAACTCTTAAGGAACATACCAGAGCAATTCATTCTAAGATTGAATGTACTACTTGCGGCAAACGTAAGAAAATAACTTTAGATAAAAAATTATAATTACATGTATGTATTTTCCTTTTTTGTGATTATGGTTACTCTTCTGCAAACAGGTGTCTTGGGGAAAAAAATGAAAGTGCATATGCGCACGCATGAACTAAGATCGTGGCCATGTTCTTACTGTGATGAGGGTAAGGCGAAACCCGCTATTAATTCGATATAATATAATTTTTTGTTTACAGTATTCCAGATGGAGGATATACTTGAGTCTCATATTTGGCAAATACATGCCAAAGAAGAGACTCTTCCCACCACAACAGTAGAACTGGAAAATGCACAAAAAAATTCGCTAACAGAAGAACAACATCTCTCTTGTGATCAGTGTGATCGACGCTGTTCCACTGAACACGAATTAAAGGCACATAAGTTACAATGCAGTTTAATACAAAATACTACTGATACTGAGGCATGTGCTAATACAGATATTCAAGATGAACAATTTCACTACCAAGATTCGACAGAGGTGTTGCAAATGCCTATTACAAACTTGCAAACCTCTAGCCAAAACACTGGGGTCAATGAGGAAAACTCGTATAGCTCTAAAAATAACAACTCAATGACACAAGTAATATCTTCTGACGAGGAGACATGCGAAAGTGAAAAAAATTCCAGGGCACTTGAAGAATTCACATGTCCAAAATGTACGCAAACTTTTTCAAGTACTGAAACACTTTGTTCCCACTATGAGATACATTTAGAAAAGCCTGGGTTCAGCTGTCATATATGTGGAAAATCATTTGAACTTAAATTCACTCTCAATCGTCATCTAAAGAAGCACAAGAGTCCATATTCTCATTAATTTTTGTAAATTCAAACAATAAGTATACATTTAGTAAAAAGTAGTATGTAAACAAGTTATACTGAATACAGATGTATATCATGAAAGCAGCTGATTTTTCTTAAAAAATGGGGAGTACTTTTGAAGGTATGAAGTTCTTTTGAAAGTATGATATTTTTGCATGAGATGTATGAATACTTAACTTCAATGTCTATGTTTTTTACCATTATTTTAAAGACGTTCCATTTAAATTAATTATTGCCGCAGCCGAAATCAGCCCGGACTTTCGTTTCCGAAAGTATACCAGCAATAAAACACTCGATGGATTTGCAAAAATTAGCTCGTACTTTATTTTAAGGCCTACTAAAGTTTTCCCAGCCTAAGTAGTTTTCAAAAAAGTGGAAAAAATGTTAAAAGAAATATCTGAGCGAAATTAAAGGTTAAAGCATATAATGGCTGCATTTCTTTATTGTTGTTGTTGTTGTTGTAGCGGCTAAAACAACCCCGCCCAGGTCGGTTGGTATATCAGTCGTTGTCGTCAAGTTCCACTAACGGCAGCCCTAGGAAGCGTGCAGCTTCTGCGGGGTTGGTCCACAGGGACAAGGCCGTTAGGGTTGTCGGGTTTACCGGGCATGCGAAGAGGTGTTTCGAGTCATGTGGGGTCTCTCCGCATGTCGGACACTCATTTGGCACATCCTCATTCAATCTACTCAGGTAGGAGTTTAACCTGCTGCAGTAGCCGGAGCGAAGTTGTGCTAGTGTCGTTCGCATCTCCCGAGGCAGATGAAGCTCCGTCTCGTCTATGTCCGGGGGTTGTATGCCTAGAACGGCATTCACAGGTCTAGAGTCTACATAACTCGAGACTGGCTCCCTGTGAACGCCGTTCAGGGCCAGTCGGTAAGCTGTCGGGTCCAGAGGTTGTTTGATGAACCTCTGGACTTCGTCCGTCAGTTCATATAGATGCCTCCTGACGTGCCTAGGCGAGGGCTCCTCTGCAAGCAGCTGTCTGTTTGGTTGGCCATTTCTGTGGCTCCCGATCAGGAACTGCTTGCAGAGCATTATATTGTGCTCCTTTACGGGGGCCTCGCCGTGAAGATTGTGTTCGGGCGACATCAGGAGGCATCCTGTCGCTGTCTTCAGGGCGGTGTTCTGTGCAGTCTGTAGCTTCGTCCACAGCGTCCTACTAGTCCCCGGCGACCACACTGGCGCTGCATAGTTCAAAACCGGCCGGCCTATTGCCTTGTATGTTGCCAGCAACGTTTCTTTGTCTTTGCCCCAAGTACTGCCGGCTAGCGACTTGAGGACCTTGTTGCGGCTCTGTACTTTATTGACAATAGCGGTTGCGTGCGCAGAGAAGGGGAGCAGGCTGTCGAATGTTACTCCTAGTATTTTGGGGTTATTCATCGTCGGAATTGGTGTGTCATCGACGTGAATTCCCAGCGGTAGCCTGACCTCCTTCGTCCAGGTTGTGAACAGGGACGCAGAGGATTTCGTAGGGGAGAGTGATAGATACTTTGCAGTGAAGAAGCGAGAAAGTTCGGAGAGATACCCGTTTACTTTCGAACACAGGTCATCAATTCCATTCCCAGTCGCCATGATCGAGCAATCGTCGGCATAAGAGACAATCGAGACTCCCTCTGGTGGTTGAGGGAGCTTTGAAATGTAAAAGTTAAACAGTAGCGGGGAAAGGACACCACCCTGTGGAACCCCCTGTTTTATTTTCCTCTGTTTACTCGTTTTGTCTCTAAACATTACCGACGAATGTCGACCACTCAGATAATTTGCCGACCACCGTTTGAGCCTCTGTGGGAGAGAGGAGGCCTCTATATCTTCTAGTAGCGTGGAATGGCAGACGGTGTCAAACGCCTTTGACATGTCCAACGCTACTAGAATCGTTCTCCCACAGGGACGGTTTCGGTTAAGGCCACGAGTTACCTGAGTGTTTATGGCGTTAAGTGCTGTTGTTGTGCTGTGCACTTTACGGAAACCATGCTAATGCTTCGTTGGGGTCAAGTGGTTTGTGAAGTACGGGAGTAGCAAGGCCTCGAGTGTCTTCGCTACCGGGGAAAGGAGTGTTATCGGAAGATAAGAATCTCCTTTGTTGGCAGGTTTCCCCGGGCAGTGGGACCACTCTCCCCACCTTCCAGATGTCTGGGATGATGAGAGTGGCCATAGACAAGTTGAGGACCTCCGTTAGGTACGCTACCCCCGCAGGACCAAAATTTTTCAGCATCAGCATGCATATTCCGTCGGGACCCATGGCTTTGGAGGCTTTCGCCTTCCCGATGGCCACCTGAACTTCACCGCAAGTGAAAGCAAGGGGGGCACAGGTTGTTGGCAGTTTGTGCAGCCTTCTGGTCACTCGACGCTTGGCTTTGTCCACCGGAGGATGCAGTATGAACTGCCGGCTAAAATAGCTCGCGCATCGCTCCGGGTCCGACGAGGCATGGTCGCCGAAGGAAATTTCGACTCTGTCGTCGTGCTTCGTCGGATTGGACAGCGACCTCACGGTTGACCAAAGCTTGCTCACACCAGAGGTGAAGTTACAGGTCTTCAGATGCTCCTCCCACTTCTTCCGCTTATGTACGTTTACTAGTTGCCGAATCTCCGCGTTGAGATCCCTGATACGGGGATCTCCGGGATCGGCCTGACGAAGGCTATCACGCTCATCGGCTAGAACAGCCGCTTCGGCAGGGAAGTTTGGAAGTGGGTCCGTTATACATCCTGCCGGTATGAAGCGAGCTGCAGCGGCAGTGACAGCACTGCGGAACTTACGTTCACCGAGATGGACGTCGGTTGGTGTGGGGAGCGCTGTGAAGGTGTTTTCGGTAAACTCCGCGTAACCTTTCCAATCAGCTTTAGAAACGTTGATATAGGTCCGGTGTTTGGCGGAGGCAAAGTCGGTTGGTTTATCTATCGAGATGACTATGGGTAGGTGGTCTGATGCTAAAGTCAGCATAGGTCGCCATGTGATGCTGTTTATCAGACCAGCGCTGACTATGGTGATGTCTGGCGAGCTACTGCAGTTACCCATAATCCTGGTGGGTGCGTCGTCGTTCATTGTGCAGAATGTCGAATCGTCTATCTGCTCTTGACAGGCTTGAGTGCCAAAGATCGTGGTGCGCATTAAAGTCACCTACTACCATACGGTTTTCACCTGAGGAGCGCACCTATATCAGGGTGATATTCTGCCGGGCAGCAGGTGACAGGGGGTATGTATATGTTAAATATTTCGAGCTCGACATCGCCTGACCGGATAGCGATGCCCTGACATTCTAGGGTGGTATCCCTGCGGTCGATGTCTGCTTCGATAAGACGATACTGCACGGTGTGGTGCGTGATGAACGCTAAGCCACCACCATTATCTCGCTCGCGATCTCGACGGTGCACGTTGTACCCGGCGCAATTGCTGTGCAACTTCGTCTCTTGGACCGTAGCTATCAATATACCATGCCGACACATGAAGACGGTTATCTCCTCAATCTTGCTCTGTAGCCGGTTACAGTTAAATTGAAGGAGCTTCATGTGGTTCGGGAGACGTGTCGTGATGTGGGGTGTAAGTGATGTGTGTGTTCTTAACGCCGTTGGCTGCGTGCGCTGCTGTGATGGTTGCCGCCCTGTGGTGGTGGCGGGAGGCGTCGCAGTTGGGGTCTGCGACCGAGCAGCGCAACACGGGCCCTCGAAGTTCCCAGTCCAATCTCGCGTGGTACGCAGACCTGAGCATGCCCTAAAGTGGCACCAACCAAGGCAGGTGTTGCACTTGACTGATGTCACATTACGGAATATCCTGGTCGGACATACCGTGCAGATTGTAGGGGGAACCAGGAGATGTTGGCGGCGGCGTGTGGGTGGTGGTGCGGTTGTGTGTGTTATGTAGTCTGTCGTGGCTGTGGTATGGTCTGTGGTGTTATTATGCTGTTGTGTTGTGGTGACTGTGTGAGGCTGCTTGGGTGGACTGAGATTGGCCGTGGAGGCTGCTCTGTTTGAGCAACAGGGGGCCACGTTCTTTATTCATTCTGAACGCTTGGAATAAACTTTTTAGTTTACTTATTCCTTAACGTATATTTCAAACGCATTCTGTTTATTCTGGATGTGAAATGGGATTATCTGGAATGTATAAAGAAACGCAGCAAATGTGGGTAATTTCCAAACAAAATTAAAAGAGGCGAAACTATTTGTGAGTGACCACCTTGAGTTTAATTGTTTCATTCTATTTTTGCATGAAACACTTATAATATTGTCCCTCCGAATTTTTGCCGTGATATTAACGATAGCTGTTGTTATTATTGTTGTAGCGGCTACAACAACCCCGCCCAGTTCGGTTAGTCCCTCGATCGTTGTCGTCAAGCTCTACTAGCGGTAGCCCCAGGAATAGTGCAGCCTCGATGGCGATAGGGCGGGGTTCAGTGGGGGTTCTGTCTCTTCGCATGCCGGGCATTCCGAAGCACATCTTCATTTATTCTGCTCAGGCAGAGTTCAATCTGCTGCAGTAACCAGAGCGCAGTCAATCACAAAATTGTCGGTTCTACGTTACCGAATTGACTCGGAGCACCCACTCCGACCAAGGACACATTACCCCAGCAGCAACACCCAATTTCTTCGCACTGCGAGCATGACTTACCGGCAAGTCTGCTCCGCATACTACTGGTCCGCGCCGGCATAGAGCAAAACCCCGGACCACGGACATATAGTGACTGCAACCGAAATATACACCACCTCAGTCTGTTGAAACAGCTGCAGTAACTGGTGTTACCTGAGAGCATGCTCAGCCAGTGGGCCAACTCCCAGCACACAACCCCGGACATCCATGCAACGCATGCAACAACTGGTGCCACCTGAAACACTGCTTCGGCCTCATACACCAGCGCGAATGGACTACTGCTTTTACTGCAGCCTGCTGCTCGGCTATCACCCAACCACCAACGCCTGCACCTGCATCTGTGCCAACGTCAACGCCAGCGGTAATCCCGAAACCGCGGCATACGGTCACACCCACACCGGTGACAACACCAGCGGTCGGACCACCACACCCACAACGAGCACAGCAAGCAGTTCAGGCAGCGCGCCAGTACTCCCTCACCCCGCGAATAACCATCACTAAGCCCAA